CCGTAATTACCATATGTAGTCCTGCGAGTTGCGAAATCTAACCTGCTGCCATCCTTCCGTTAATCCCATCCCTCCAAACCGTCAAAAAAGGGGGTAGATATGTCATTTTCCATGTCCTTCGGATGAGCCTATTGCCAAAAACCTCACCCTAACTTCCGTCTTTCTTCTGCACTTGAAAGTGCTCTGAAATTGTGATTTCTTCGAAATTGGAGACGATAGTGGAAGCCGGCTGCTGGTTCGTGTCCACGTAGAAGAGCCCGGAGAGGTTGAAGCTAGAGGATCCAGCGGCGTCCGAGGTGGAGTGGTCATTGACGATGTCAAAAACGCTTCTAGAGATTCTTCGTTCTGGGTATCGGGGATTATGGGTTTGGGTTGGGAAGTAGATAAGGTTCTGTGCTACCTTGCTCGGAAGCTGGTCGGAGTGGTCTCCTCCGGGTGTAATCTCATCTTCTCGTCGCAATAGAACCGCCTCCAAGCTCCTCGCGATGTCGCCGGTGAACTCCACTGTCCACCGCCTCCGAGTTCGTCGGCGGCTGCCGGCTGCCTGTCTTCGGATTTGGAAAGTTGAAATTTTTGATTTTTTATTTTTGATTTCTGATTGCTTGAGCCTTGAGTGTCGAAGAAGACAAAAAAATTTAAAATTTTTGATTGCCTTGAGCCCTTGGACTTGATTTCTGATTTATGGGTTGATTTTATTTGTGTTACAATGATAAATATCATTTGAGGTGGAAAACAAGCTTGAACCAAAGAGGAAAGTCCAACTGGCTAAGGACTTGGGACTGCAATCCAGACAGGTTGCGATTTGGTTCCAGAACCGGCGTGCCAGATACAAGACAAAACATATTGAGAAAGAATATGATTCCTTGAAGTCTTGCTATGATATATAAACTCAAAGCTGATTGTGATTCCCTCTCCAAGGAACTCAAATGACATATCTACCCCCACTTTTCACGGCTTAGACGGGAGGAATTAACGGAAGGATGGTAGCAGATCAGATTTCGCAACTCGGGGGGACCACGAATGGTAATTACGAAAGTTAGGGACTATAGGTGGTGAAATCACCAAACTCGAGGGACCTTGGCTGGTATTTACTCCTAAGTGAAAATATTGTATGTTTGTATTTTTAGTGGTTTGGAACAAATTATTGCTTCAAACTATTGAATAACCAAAACACTTTTCTTTAGCGTTTTGATCTTTGGGTTACATCATATTTTCCAATCGTCTAATATCTTTGGGTTATATTATAATTAAAAATTTTAAATTTTTACTACATCTAAATTCCTTAAATTAGGAATTTTTTTATCCATAATAATTTATTCAACAATAATGGTTGAACTAAATGAACACTGAGCAAAACACCTAAAGGACTGATACTGTTTATTCATTCATTGATCTTGTATATATGTGCATTCATTAAATATATTAGAACCCTTTGCAACAAAAATACTTGGTTACTATTTAAAAATTTTTTAGTAACAATTATAATGAATCTCATATATTACATTGTATTCATATACTATGAACTACATATTTAAATAAACAAATTAGACATTAAATTACTTATGTTGAACTTCTCATATATAATCTTGCATTGATATACTTTCAAATATTTATTTAATTATAAACATTGGGTAGAAAAAATGACCGTCAAATTATTAAATCAAATGAATAGTTCAGATTGTTCAGATTTTAATTTTTCCTTGAGATTTTATAATTTATCCTTTTTTTTTTTTGAATGCAATTTATCCTTAATTATATGATTATTCAATCCGTTAACTTTTCCAGTAAGTACCTTTAATTCACCATTAGTCTAATTCTAATATTAAAGTCTAATATAGAATAATAACTACAACATTAATCTAATTCTAATATTAAAGTCTTAATCGAACTCTAACCACAAATCCTACTATTGAAATCTCCTCAAACAATATTACTATATATTTAATATTTTATGATTTAATTTTTATTTGCTCTCCCTTATGTTCCGTATTTGGTTTCAACCATACCCATAGAATTATTTTATTGACAATTATAATCAATCTTGACTATATTATCTTGCATTTGTAAACCCAGAATTACCAATTTAAATACGCAAATTCAACATCCAATTATCTATGCATGAACAATTCCAATATAATATACTTTAAACTTCTTATTTAAGAAAAACATTGGGCACTATCCCAATCGCGCAATGCGCGTAAAAAACTAGTCATCATCAATAATATAAAGATCAAGAGATCGATTCTTGACTTTGGGTATCAAGCAACCTAAAATCTCCAAACCAACTATCATACCCTTAGAGATGCGAGTCGTTATTCTGTGTAACCGTGTGCACCATGCATGGTGCACACGGTTGCAAAAACGACGTCGTTTTGACGTCCGACTTAAAAAAATATTCAGTTTCGATTGTCGTTAACGGCGTTATGTTGTGCATAATTTGAACTATACATTCAAAACTTCATAACTATACATTCAGAATTGCATAACTACACATCCATAACTTCATAACTGTACATTCAGAATTGCATAATTACTACAGATCCATAACTTCATAACTATATATTCAGAATTGCATAACTATACATCCAGAACTTCATAACTATATATTGAGAATGTGAAATTATAAAATTATGTACATATGTTTACATAACTAACGGCAATCAAAAATGATTTTTTTTTAAGTAAAACGACGCCGCATAGTGCACACGGTTACAGAGCATAATTTGCCTAGAAACAGGGACGGAGCCAAAGGGGGGGCAGGGGGGCAGTTGCCCCCTCACCCCACCCCCACTCCATATATAGTCTTTGTATGTATATATATATGTACTAGTTTTTTACGCGCATTGCGCGATTGGGATAATGCCCAACGCTTTTTTGTTAAATAAGTACTTTAAAGTATATTAAGGCAGGATTATATTGAAATTGTTCATGCATAGATAATTGAAGGTTGAATTTGCGTATTTAAATAGGTAATTCTTCTCCCAAAGGTTGAATCCCCAACCCCAAGGGCACCACACTCCGACCCGACAGAGCATTGTGGGAAGTTGTAAATCACGGTGACTCAATGGTTCAGCAGACAGGGCCAAATGCTGATACGCACAAGGAATCTGCCCACTTTGGACATAATTCCCGCACTGCCGCCGCCGAGGTTCAAGCCTTGGTCTCTTCTCCCAAATACTACCCACTAAACCATTGAGCTAAGCCCGTGCGAGTTAAATAGGTAATTCTAAGTTTACAAATGCAAGATAATATAGTCAAGATTGATTATAATTGTCAATAAAATAATTGTATAGGTATAGTTGAAACCAAATACGGGACATAAGGGAGAACAAATAAAAATTAGGGCATAAAATATTAAATATATACTAATATTGTTTGAGGAGATTCCGACATTAGGATTTGTGGTTAAGTTCTATTAAGACTTTAATATTAGAATTAGATTAATGGTGTAGTTATAATTCTATATTAGACTTTAATATTAGAATTAGACTAACGGTGAATTAACAGAAAAGTTAAATGGATAATCATATAATTAAGGATAAATTAGAAAATCTTAAAAGAAAAAAATTAAAACCTGAACAATATGAACCATTCATTTGATTTAATAATTTGACGGTCATTTTTTCTACCCAAGGTTAATAATTAAATAAATTCGCTGGTCAAATCCGCTAACGCTAACCGCTAACTGCTGATTGTCAAACAAGGACATTGCGAGGTAGTTCTCACTTCAATTTGTTGTGTGATTTGAATACTCTTTTTGTCACAAAATCTCTCAAGTAGTTAATATGGTTGGCTTTATTAATTATATTTTTTTTATTTTTTCATGGTATTAATAAAATACTTGGTAAATAAATATATAACATTATTTTGTATTATAAATTTGATATTTAATTAGAAAAATAGTGCACAAAAAAAGATAATAGATAATGTAGTGAATATAATCAATCGATGAATTTGAATGTAAAAATTTTTACATTTGAGAAAAATTAAGACAATATAACTAATGAAAATATTTCTTTTAATTTATTTATTGATAATTAATAATTTTTTTTCACTGAATAAAGACATTGTAAGGACAATGTAGCGAATATAATCAATTAATAAATTTGAATATAAAGAATTTTTATATTGAAGAAAAATAAAGACAATATAACTAATAAAATTATTTCTCTTATTTAATTTATTGATAATGAATATATTTTTTTTGAATAAAGGCATTGTGGACACATAATTCTAAATTAAAGAAATGCATATGTATTATTTTTTGTTGTAACTACTAAATTATTATTTATATAATTTAATAAGAGTAAAATAGAGTACTAATTATGCCAACTTTGATTGGGATGAGGTTCGAACCTAAGATTTTTTTTTTATTGAAATTAATGAGTAAGTTAACGGTGAACTAACGGCAATTCTTAAAATTTTAACGGAATTAGTAACAGTGTGTGGGTATTTTAGGAAATTTTAGTGTAAAATTTAAATCTGATCAATCTTTTAATCAATCTGAGCCATTCATTTGATTAAAATCTGTGACCGCCATTTTTTCTACCTATTATAGGTCTAACTCTCTTGGGCTCTTATTAGTATAAGTAGATATAGTAGATATATAGTACATGTTTTAGTATTAGTATAAAAAAAATTATAAAATGTTAATAAGAGTGAGTTAGACTAGGTAGTAGAGCACATATTTAGCAATAGTGAGGTCAAGGGTTCAAAATGTGGCCTCAAGTTTATTTTTAAATTATCTCTTCTGTTTTAATGTTTCGCCTTTACTGGAATAATTTTCTGAATCGGTCGCTCCCCCTCAATCAAATTTCTGGCTCTATCCCTGCCTAGAGATGCCTACAATTCAGCAAGGAAATTACCCGTTGATGAAAGCTGAATTACACCAAAAAAAGAAAAAAAAAGAAAAAAAAAATTGGGGTTAGCCCACTACTTTTCCTTTTATATATACATTTCCTTAGTCTTCTCCAAAGTCACCCTACCCTAAACACCTAGCTAGCTAGCAACATCTATCTATCCCAACTCTCCCTAGAGCTATGGGCAACAAGACCAATTATTTCTTCTCCACCACTTTCATCCTCTCCCTTCTCCTCTTAGCCACATTCACCACAGCCTGCAGTGAACCGTGCAGACGATCCCCATCATCCAAGCCATTCTGCCCAAGGGACACTTTGAAGTTTGGTGCTTGTGTTGACATCCTTGGACTGGGCAGTACTGTGGGTGTTGGGGGCCCCACAACAAGCCCTTGCTGTGCTCTTCTCCAAGGGCTTGCTGATTTGGAGGTCGCAGCTTGCCTTTGCACTGCCCTTAAGGCCAATGTGTTTGGGATCATCGACCTCAATATGTCTGTTGCTTTCAGTGTTCTTTTTAGTGCTTGCCAGAAAACTATCCCTGATGGCTACAAGTGCGAATGAATATAATGAATCAACAACATTCCTAGGCAATATGGTGTTTGTGTTTGTTGTATTCACTGGTTACTGATGATGCATGATGAGTATGTACTATGTCTGTCATTATTATTATTTGCTTGTTGCAACAAAATTAGTAGTGATCTGATCTAGCTACCTATACTATGTATGTTTAATGTTTTCCTTGTCTGGTCGTTACTTAATTACGTTGATTTCAGTTATTCACTTCTTGAATGCTACTGACTCTAGTACAATGTAGTATATGTTACTTTTTCAACCTAGTGAAATACAAAGAGCCAATAACGCCTCTACTAAGGCTCGAATTCACAACCTTCCAAATGGAAGTCCAACCCGAGTACCATTAGACCACATAATCTTAGTACTTCTTGATTTTATTTAATTTGCCATTAATCAAAATTTTTTTTATTTATCCGTCTTAATTAATCGGAACTGAAATTGCACCGTTGAAAACATCCATAGCATACCTATCAATAGTTTTTGGAGAGGTTTTTACCGCTTTTAGGTCTATGTGAAGGAGAGAGAGGTTTGGAGAGAGAATGTTGAGCTCCTATTGCAAGAAGTGATTTTTTGTGGGTCCCGCAAGGAAAGAGAAACATCAAAGACCAGGCACAATGCTGCGCATTTGGAGCACAGACAGCGCTCGATCAGGCGCGTGCACTAGCGCATTAAATACTTTTTTGTTTTTCTTTTTGCGTCAAATTTGCTTTTCCCCCCCTTTTTTACCAATCGTTATACCCTACACCACGGCGCACATAGCACTGTGCGCCGCGCGCCTCCCAAAACGACGTCGTTTTGGGGTCGTTTTGGGAGGCGCGGTAGGAAGTTGCTGGGATTATGTGTATTTGTTCACAAAATTATGTGTATTTGTTCATACAGTTATGTGTATTGGTTCATACAGTTATGTACATTTTTTATACAATTATGTACATCCGAATCAGAAAATTTGTGTGTATTATGTTAAGAGTTGATGTGTATTATGTTAAAAGTTTATGTTTATTATGTATTATGTTAGATTATGTGTATTATCTTTTAAAAAGAGTATGTATATTTTGTTATATAATTATGTACATTCGTGTATACAATTATGTGTATTCTAGTATAACATTATGTACATTCTTGAACAGCGATTTTTTTTTTTAAAGAAAAAACTACTGCCATTCACTGGGGCGGAAAATTTCAAAAAAAAAAAAAAATTAAAACGACGTCGTTTTGCATCTGGGCGCATAGTGTAACGCGCGCCGTGGTGTAAAATATAAATTGCCCTTTTCTACCTTCTTCTCTTTCCTTCTCTCTTAGTTGACATGCACCTCAAAAATCTCAAAAAAAAAAAAAAAAAAAAGAGTGAATTCCATTTTTGGTCCTACTGTTATAGGGGCGTTAATTAATTTCAGTCCACTTTAAATTTTTTTTTTTGTTACTTTACAACCATTGTTATTGAATGTGTTCCACTTTTAGTCCACCATTAATATTTCCGTCAAGAGGCCGTATAATCAAAGGGTATTTTGGTCTTTTTATATTTTTCTCTTCTCTTTTAATCCAGGCGCTTCGTCCTCCTCATCCGATATTCGAAGATAGCTCTTCGAACAACGAGAATGGGAAGCCAAAGCTACATCGTTTCGTTCGTTCCAACATGGGCCGGCGAGGTTTCTTAGGTTTTAGGTTTAATGTTCTCATTTCTTTAGTCAAACATAGTCTTGGATGAGAAGAAATGTCAAAATACCCCTAGATTACACGGCCTCTTGATGGAAATACTAACGGTGGGACTAAAAGTGGAACACATTCAATAATAGTGGTTATAAAGTGACAAAAAAAATTAAGGTGGACTAAAATTGAAAACGCCCCTATAACAGTAGGACCAAAAATGGAATTCACTAAAAAAAAAAAAAAAAAAAAAAAAAAAAACCATATCTATTGAGAATGTTCATAATGTCATTAATGTGTGCAAAATTGCGCACTAAATTGTAAGCTATTTGTAGCTTTGCCATTTGGCCTTCATTCACTTTTCAAGCCTTCAAACATATCCTTAAAAACTCTTACTTTCTATTAACCTTAGTTGGAATGGTGACATGTAGTAGAAACTCATATAATCTCTTTTTATTTTCCTTCCCTTTGTAGGAAAATTATATTTATCATATATCACCGCAATGCCCTTCATTCTTGGTCGATTTATTAGGCATACTAAAGTGAAGTCTCAACATGTTGTAAACTATGCAGCTAGCTTAGTGTGTGTATTTTAATATGCTTATATGTACAAGTAACACATATAACACAACTTCTTATAGCAAATTAAAATATAAATATCTGTACACTATGGCCGAATGTATGTTATTATTATTATTATTTTTAGATCAAATGTGTTATTTCAAAAGTTATTTCTAATTAAGAAACTATCAATATGAAGAACCAATACCCGCACCCCTCAAATAATACTCCATTCGTCGCTTTTATACGTGTGGATCAGTTAACGAGGTTTAACTGGAGTGTAAGGAATTTTGACAAAAAATCAAAATAAAAGTTCTCAAAAAATTGTACGGTAAACGATTAATCCAAGACATGTGAAATACACCTTCCTTAAAACCAATTCGTTTCCCCGAGGTGTTAAGAGTATTGCGGCACAACATCAATTTCATTGGATATAATGGATTAGTACGAAATATTCGAACACTCAAATATTGCGTCTGTGGTACAGGTGCACACATGTGCAAACTTTTTTGAGATCATTTTGAGATTTGATGTGCAATCTGCATAATATTTTACCTATTTAATTTACTAAAAACACAGAAATGGAGAACACAAATTAAACTATCACACAAATTCAAGTAATCTTTGGGCATTACTTAATTCTATAACTTCAAGAAGGTTAAAGATATATTGATCTTCAATCCTATATGATTAGAGAAGTGCATACCCTACTCTACATATTCGCTATACATATTTAGGATTTAGATATATTAGAGCGTTTGGCAAATAACTGATAGCTGATAGTAGCAAGATTGGGTTAGCTGGCTTGACCAATTGATAGTATTAGCAGATTTGATCAGTTGATAGTATTAACTGGTTGTAAAAAAATATTTAATAAATTAGATGTTTACTTTTAGCTGATTGTATGTGAAATGACTTATAAGCTAGGGCATGAACATATTTTGCATTTGTGCTAATTTATTAACTCGATCTTAAATTACTTTTATAATTTTTTATTTATTTATTTATTTATTTATTTATTTATTTATTTATTATTATTATTATTATTATTATTATTATTATTATTATTATTATTATTATTATTATTATTATTATTATTATTATTATTATTATTATTATGAGTGAAATCAAAAAGAAAGAAAAACAAATATACTCTTTTCAGATTTTGACTTATTATCCCAATAAACTAATGTAATAAGTCATTTTATCAAACTCTTACGTAATTTATTGACCAATCAAACCAGACAAACTCAATCAAACTAGACAAAATTGATTTATCAACTATGTTACCAAACAGGGTCATTGTCAATGTTAAAATTCGAATTAATCAAAGATCATTGATTTATTTGCAATTTCTACCTCTATCCAGGTCTACTAGTCAAATATCATGCATTGGTAGTTTAGTAGTTTATAAAACAAATGCTCAAAGAAAAAAGAAAAAAAAGGTAATAGAATTATGAGGAGGTAAAGACAATAAAAATAGTCAATATATCAAGAAGGTAACAAAGAAGATATATTCAATTTGAAAGGATTTATAAGTGTAAAAAAATAAACACAATATACAAGTTATTTAATTTAGGGAAAATGACACTTTTTCCCCCTAAGTTATATATACTTATAGCACTTTTTCTCTCAGAATTATTCATTTAAGCACATTAGCCCCTCAATTATTTTAAAAGTGGCAATTTTCCCCCTTGATATATTAAATTGACATTTCTACCTTTAAAGTAAACATTTTATTTATTTTTCTTCTCCAACAAATTATTGCGTATACGTAGGGATGACCACGGTTCGGTTGGAACTGAACCGGACATTATAGCAATCGAATTAAAAGTTTTCGGTTATAATTCAGATCCAGAACCCAATATTTGAATTTCAGTTTTTAAAATTATGAATCGAAAAAACTGGATCCTGAACCGTGAACCGACGGTTACGGATCCGGTTCGTGATTTTGAACCGTCTTTATTTTAAAATTTTATTTTTTATTTTAAAATAGTCTAAATTCAAGAATAAATGTATTTTATTTTTTTCCAGTTCAAAACATGAACCGGCCGTTTCGGTTTGCGATTTTAATAAACTCTAAATATCAGATTTCGATTCTAAATTGTAATTGGAATATTTCGGTTTGGTTGTTATAGTGTCTGTTTGGTTTGAACCAAATTGTGATCATAATTTGTTGGAGAAGAAAACAAAAATGAAATATTTATTTTAAGGGTAAATATGTCCATTTAACATTTAAGGAGAAAAAACAGCCACTTAAATAATTCAGGGAGAAAAAAGTGTTGTAATTAAGTATATAACTCAGTGGAAAAAATCCTATTTTCCCTTTAATTTATTTCAGTAATTAACGTACGTATCAAATGACCTTTGCAATTTAAATAAATAAATAAATAATAATAATAATAATAATAATAATAATAATAATAATAATAATAATAATAATAATAATAATAATAATAATAATAAAGAGGTAAAACTAGAAAGAATTTGTAAGCATACAAGTAGTTAAACACAAAATACAAATTATTAATCTTTTTTGAATGCTACTGGCTCTATTAGGAATTATTAATCTAAGTGATTTTATACTTAAAAACTTTTTTTTATTGTTAAAATCTTACCATATATACTGAAACAAATGTAAAATTAGAAAGAATTTGTAAGCACACAAAAAGTTAATACAAGATACAAATTATTAATCCAGCTTTTTATTCCTACGAAAATCATACCATCAATTATTTTTACATAATTTTTAGATTTTAGATTATGAGTTCATTTCTAATTTGTTTAAAAAAAAAATGGTTGGCACCCACTACTTACAACCGTATCATATGACTACTGCTAGAAATGCATGTGAATCTCATATCCAATTCAAATAAACTAACATGATGAGATCAGAACGGGTGGTCTTATCTTGTTGCCATTTCTGGGTAACTTTCAACTTTATGGTCAATCACTATACTTGAATTTTTGGCATGCCATCATCATGTAGGGTAGCTAGGGATGCTGTATCAGATACTAGAGAACAAATCGTGTTGATTTTATATGCTTAGTCGCATAGTATATCTGTACATGACACCGGTATATATATTGAATTTTTATGTATACATATAAATGTATGAATATATAGCAGATTGCTAAGTGCTAACCAACTCAAACTAGCTAAGAACATCAGTAGTAGACTGTAGACGGCTTTCAACCTTTCATTAGGAATTAAATTTGGAACTTTGTGATTACCTAGCACTCAACTAATTTTTTTTTTTTTTTTTGAAAATAGCACTCAACTAATTTAATTAAGGTTGTCCTCATAACTGACCAACCTATGATGATTTATGTTTTTGTTATTTTTTGTCAACTAAGTCATAAGGTAAACATCACCCAGAGTGCACTTTCAATCTTCAAATTGCAGCTATGGACTTTTTTGTAAGAATAAATTCCACTAAATATCCTCTGAGTTTGAGGAGTTACCAGCTTAATTTGGTCCTCAACTTACTAACCTATCAATATAAGTTTTCAATTTTTTTAAAGCTACCACTAATATTCCTTCATTTATTTTTTTGTGAAGTTACCGTCAACATATATATATATATATATATATATATATATATATATATATATATCAAATGCGGAGGTGGTGTCCAGGTGAAATGTGCGGGTGGATAATAGCCGTTCATCTTGCCAAACTCAACCGTCCAGATTGAACAACGTATAAAACAATGTGCTTGACATATACATATTAATTCATAAAATTTGAAATATATATACTATAATTCTTAAAAATTCCAAATATATACACAACAATTTATAAAATTCAACATATATACACAATAATTGAAAATAATTCTAAATAGAGTTTATTATCGAAATGGTCCCTCGACTATTGCAAAATTACCAATTCGGTCCTCAACAAATTTTCTTCTCCAATTAAGTCCCCCGACTTTGAAAAAGTTAACCATTTTGGTCCTCCGTTAGGTTAGGGGTTAAAAGTTCGTTAAATTAGAAGGCATTAATGGAATTTCACATGAGAAGACTCATTTCTTAATTGATTAACCCATTTTAATATGCGAAGACCCATTTCAATATTCACGTTTCTCAGTTGTCGAGAATGGTGTAACAATTCAAGAAGAAAAGGGAAGGAAACTGAAAGGGTTCTTGATGTATTCTTGCTCTCAAACTCTCTGTACTTAGAATCTTTACAGATTGTTCAAATGTTACAAAGAACTTACAGAAGCGGGAATTGGGAAAGAATTTAAACTCTACAACTAAACTAACAGAAGCTATTACAGAGTTAGTTAGGGAGGTTGGATGATCTGGACTAAGTTGTGGATGAGTCAGCTTGTATACTTGAGGATTGACCACTATCTGTTGACAACCCCCCGCAAGCTGGAGTGTACAAGCAATGTAGAGATGAAGTTGGAGAAGGTAGCAGTAGCAAGAGGTTTTGTAAACACATCAGCTAGTTGATTTGCAGTGGTGACATGCATCAGCTTCAATATTTTCTTTTGTAGTTTTTCTCTCACCAAATGGCAATCTATTTCAATATGCATTGTTCTCTCGTGGAATAATGGGTTCTCAGCTATGGCAATTGCATATTTTTTGTCACAATATAGTGTGGTTGGGGAATCAAGCTCCACTTCCAGATCTTGCAGCAGGTAAATAAGCCATTGTATCTCACAGGCTGCTGTTGCAAGTGCCCTATACTCAGCTTCAGATGAACTTCTAGATATGGTGTGTTCTTTCTTTGACTTCCAAGATACCAAGGTAGTGTCAAGAAACATACAATAGCCAGTAACAGATCTCCTAGTGTCGGGCATGCAGCCCAATCAGAATCACTAAATCCTTTAATCTGCAAAGATGAAGATGCTGAGAAGAATAGCCCCTGTCCTGGGGCTGCCTTGATGTATCTCAAGACCCTATGTGCTGCCTACATATGTACATCAGTAGGATAGTCTAGGAATTGAGATAATTGTTGTGTAACATAGCTTATATCTGGTTTTGTAATTGTAAGATACAATAGCTTTTCCACAAGCCTTCTATATTGAGTAATGTCTTCAATTTTGTTCCCAGTTGTCTTACTGAGTTTTGTTCCTGTTTCCATGGGTGTTTTGGCTGGTTTGTAGTCTAGAAAACTAGTATCTTCAAGCAATTCTAATGTGTACTTCCTTTGTGTGACAGATATGCCTTTACTGCTTCTTGCTACTTCTAGCCCCAAAAAGAACTTTAGAGGACCTAAGTCCTTAATGTGAAAAACAGCATCCAAATGACTCTTAATTTGTTCCACCTGATTTAAGTTTGGGCTGGCAATTACCACATCATCAACATATACAAGTAAAGGCACAAAATCATTACCTTTGCCCTTTGTGAACAAAGAAGAGCTTGACACTGCTTGCTTGAAGCCCATGCTTAATAATTCTTGGGTAAGTTTGAGATTCCATTGTCTACTAGCTTGTTTCAGGCCATAGAGAGACTTTATTAGCTTGCATACTTGACGAGGCTTGGCAGAAGTGAAACCAGGAGGCAATGTCATATATACTTCTTCATTGAGTTCCCCATGAAGGAAGGCATTGTTCACATCTAGCTGGTGGAGTGTCCACCCTTTGATTGCAGCCACCCCAAGTAATACTCTGATTGTAGTTATCTTAGCCACAAGGCTGAATGTGTCTAGGTAGTCTAGGCCAGGTGTTTGAGTGTAACCTTTGGCCACTAACCTAGCCTTGTGCCTCTCAATGGTTCCATCAGCCTTAAGCTTGGTCTTGAACACCCATTTGCAACCTATAGGAACTTTAGAAGATGGGAGATCAGTGAGAGCCCATGTATTCTTGGCCTGTAGGGCAGTGATTTCTGCTTCCGTGGCTTTCCTCCAACATTCTTTCTTAATGGCTTCATTGTATGTTCTTGGTTCTTTAACATCCAATATATTGACAGCAAAGGCCTTGTATGCTTGTGACAGATTGTCATAAGACCAAAATTTGGAGATGTCATGTGGAGATGTTCTCCTAATAGTACTCTGACAAGTATAATCATTAAGATAGGAGGGTTTGGCTCTTAGTCTTGTTGATCTCCTTGGCTCTGGGGTTGGTGTTGACTCTGTACTACCAGGTTCATTGCCCTGGACTGGAATTGTTGGTGGAATCTCAGGTAAATCATATGAGCTAGGTGAAACCTCAAAAGCATCAGCAGGTACACTAGTGTCTTCATCAGAGTTGAAATGTGCCACACCCTCAAAAGGTAGAATCAAGTTAGGGGACTGACTGCCTATCTTGTGAACTCTGAAAAGGGAATATATTTTCATAAAAAGAAAGATCCCTAGATAGGAAGACTTATTTGGTCTGAGTATCTAGCAATTTGTAGCCCTTCACGCCACTAGTGAATCCCAAGAAAATACTTCTCCTAGCCCTTGGAGAGAACTTGTCTCTTTGGCAATTAGGAACAGTAGCAAAGGCTAGACATCTAAACACTCTAAGGTGTTGATATTGTGGTATTTTATCAAATAGTATCTGGTATGGGATCTGATTACTCAAGGCTGCAGATGGAAGCCTATTTATCAAGTATACTGCATGAAGGATGCAGTCACCCCAGAATTCCTCAGGTAAATTGGCCTGAAATCTCAAGGCTCTTGCTACAGACAAGATGTGTCCATGTTTCCTTTCCACAATACTATTCTGCTGAGGGGTATAGACACATGATGTTTGATGAATAATTCCCTTTTTCTGGTAGAATTCTTCCATTAAGAATTCCTTTCCATTATCAGACCTCACACACTTAAGATTCTTCCCAAACTGAGTACTGATAAGTTCATAGAAGCACTGCATAATCTGTCTTACTTCATTCTTCTTTCTCAAAAGATACACCCAAGTAGTTCTACTGTGATCATCTACCAAGGTTAGAAAATATTGATGTCCATAGATAGTTGGAACATGGTATGGTCCCCATATATCAGCATGAATCATATCAAAACATTGATTTGAAATAGAAGAACTAGGTTGGAAAGGTAATCTTCTTTGCTTAGCCAAATGACAACTTTCACAAACAGTAGGCTTATCATTACAAATTTTGTTGTCTAGTGTTTGTAGAAACTTTATTTTTCCTTCAGAAGCATGCCCTAACCTAGCATGCCAGAAGTTACAAGCATTAACTACAGGCAAGACAGCAGGTTTACATTGAGAAAAAACAGGAAAAACAAGGTGGTAGAGTCCCTTCTCCAGCTTAGCCATACCAATCGTCTTCCCATGGTGTTGATCCTGTATAATACATTGATTAGTATGGAAGAGTGTGCTACAACTGGATCCCCTCATCAGTTCTCCTAGGGATGTCAGATTATAATGGAAGATTGGGACACATAATACATTCTGCAAGACCAAATCAGTAGATAAGTGTACAATCCCTGTGTGTGACACTTCTGCCTGATGTCCATTTGGTAGATCCACATAAATTCCTTGTACTTTCTTGGACATATGCAGTAAATGTATGCTACATACAATGTGGTGTGTAGCACCACTATCAATGATCCACAATGATTCAGATTTAGCTAAACTGATGTGGGTATTACCTTCATGTTGGGCATTTGGAATGAAGTTGGTTGCTATGGTATGGGCCTGTGGAGCATGATCAAGAGGGGTATTGGCCCTGGCTCTCTCTTGTTGTTGCATAAACTCCAGAAACCTTCTGCAGTCCACTTGAGTAAATGAGGAATTAGTTTCTGAACTTTCAGTTTCTTGCACAGAACCTTGGACTTGATTAGCTTATCCAAACCCTTTGTTTCTTGGCTTCCAACCTGGAGGATAGCCATTCTTCTTGTAGCACTTGTCAATAGTATGTCCTGTATAACCACAATAACTACATACAAGTTTCTGCTTCTGATTAGAGAAGGTTCTTCTATTGTTATTATCTGCTATTGTAAAAAAGATGTTTGCCCCTGTCATACTATCTTCAAGAGTACTAGATTCAATACACACTTGCCTCTCTTGTTGTGAAATCATGGAGAAGGCTTCACTAACATCTGGGAGGGGTTTCCTCAGCATGATCTGATGCTTGGTGTTAATGTAGCTATCATTCAAGCCAGTTAGGAAAGCAGATAACATATCATTCTCAAGATGTGCCTTCACTTTTTCAGATAATTTGTTTCCACACTCACAACCAGTAGAGCACTCACAGATAGGGAGGGGTCTCAAAACAAGGAGTTCATCCCACAACAACTTCAATTGTGTAAAATACTCATTATGGTGGAGTTACCTTGCTTTGTATGGTAGATTTGTGACGAATTTCAACAACTCTGAACACATCATGTTGACTGAAGCGCTTTTTCAGATCCTTCCATACACCTTCAGCAGTATTGATCCAAAGGACACTCCAAGCTATAGTAGATGAGACAGCCCTAAGTATCCACGAAAGGACCATTGTGTTGCAGCGCTCCCAGTAATAATATCTCGGATCGAGCTTTCTCGGAACAGCTACAAGCCCTCTCACAAAACTCATCTTGTTTTTGGACATTAATGCCATCTTCATGGATCTTGACCAAGAATGATAGTTGGACTTTCCTTCCAACTGCACTATCACGAGCTGTAGAGTTGTGCTCTCATTCGGATGAAGGTGGAGAGGATTCGTCAGATCGTTCGGATCGAAACTTCCAATCGGAGTCGCAGCGGGAACTGGGATGGGATTTGGGTGTTGCACCAGATGAACCCACTTGGTTCTGGTTTCCTCCTACTTGATTTGAAGCTGCTTGCAAGACCATATTCGCGATTGGTAGACGCCACGCCATTAGGGCTCTGATACCATGTTGAGAATGGTGCAACAATTCAAGAAGAAAATGGAAGGAAACTGAAAGGGTTTTTGATGTATTCTTGCTCTCAAACTCTCTGTACTCAGAATCTTTACAGATTGTTCAAATGTTACAAAGAACTTACAGAAGCGAGAATTGGGAAAGAATTTAAACTCTACAACTAAACTAACAAAAGCTATTACAGAGTTAGTTAGGGAGGTTGGATGATCTGGACTAAGTTGTGGATGAGTCAGCTTGTTGACTTGAGGATTGACCACTATCTGTTGACATCAGCCTCTCTGATTCACGCTTCTCTGCCTTTCTGATTCACGCTTCTCTGCCTCTCGTTGTACCAGAAAACTAATGTTTAGTCATTATCAAAGAAAGCCGCCAATTATGGACCTCCGGATCGCCGCCGCAACCATCATCAAAGCTGAACTGGAATCTTGGGACGAGAATCTCAAACTGAGGCATGTCGTATTCTGGGATAATGGAAGTTTTATAAAACTGGGTGTGGAGTCTATTTCTCTTTTTGAGTATGCAGAGGTGTGTGATGAAGAGGAGAGTTGTGCAGGTTCTGAGCAGTCTGATTCTAGTGACTATGAGGTGGAGGATAGTCCACAAGGATTGGGATTTGTAGAAAGTACGAACCTGCAAAGTGGTATCCAGACAAAGACAACACTTTTTGCTAAGTGGGAGAATCACACCCGAGGCATAACTTCCAAGATGATGGCAAATATGGGGTACCATGAAGGAATGGGGTTAGGTGCTACTGGACAGGGGACGTTGGATCCCATTTCTGTTAAGAGTTCTACCATCAAAACAATCTCTTTGACCATGCTGTTGAAGATCAGAAAAATGAAGAAGCAAATGACTAAACATTAGTTTTCTGGTACAACGAGAGGCAGAGAGAAAGGCAGAGAAGCGTGAATTAGAGAGGTTGAGAAGCGTGAATATTGAAATGGGTCTTCTAAGATTAAAGTGGTCTTCTCATATTAAAATGGGTTAATCAATTAAGAAATGGGTTTTTTCATGTGAAATCCCATTAATGCCCTATAATTTAACGGACTTTTAACCATTAACCTAACGGAGGACCAAAACAGTTAACTTTTTCAATGTCCGAGGACTTAATTGGGGAACAAAAATTAGTGAGGACCAAATTGGTAAATTTGCAATAGTCGAGGTACCATTTTGGTAATAAACTCTTCTAAATATATATACAATATTTCCTAAAATTCAAAATATATATACAAAATCACCTAAACTTCAAATTTTATACACAATAATTCAAAAAATATGAATATATACAATAATTCCTAAAATTCGATATATATATATATATATATATATATATATATATATATATATAATTCCTTAAATTCAAAATATGTTAAAAATAATTTCAAATATATAAAAATAATTATTTTTACTTATTCAAGGTGGAGTGGAAGTGGCGGTGGCGCGACGGTGGAGTGGAAGTAGCGGTGACGCAGTGGTGAGGCGGTGGTGCAGTGGGTGTTGTGGGAAGAAGAAGATCGAAATGGTGTGGGTGGCGGATGTGTTAGTGCGGAACGGAGAAGAAAGAGGAGGAGGAGGAATTTTATATATATATATATATATATATATATATATATATATATATATATATATATATATATATATATATAATTCTTTAAATTCAAAATATGTTAAAAATAATTTCAAATATATAAAAATAATTATTTTTTACTTATCCAAGGTAGAGTGGCAGTGGCGGTGGCACAACGGTGGAGTGGAAGTAGCGGTGACGCAGTGGTGCGGCGGTGGTGGGTGTTGTGGGAAGAAGAAGATCGAAATGGTGTGGGTGGCGAGGAGGAGGAGGAGGAGGAGGAGGAGGAGGAGAAATAGAGAAGAACGGAGAGGAACGGTGCGTTATTTTAACATTTAAGGTGCGCCAGTTATACAATTAATGTGCATAAGTTCTCCACTTAATTAAGGTGCGTGATTTTACCACTAAAGGTGCATCTTTGTAACACTTAAGGTGCGCCAGTTATACAATTAATGTGCATAAGTTCTCCACTTAATTAAGGTGCGTGATTTTACCACTAAAGGTGCATCTTTGTAACACTTAAGGTGCGCCGTTTTTAACACTGAAGGAGGAGGAGGATGAGGAGGAGGAAGAGAGAAGGGGGAGGAGGAGAGAAGGAGGAGAAGGAGAATGAGAAGGAGAAGTAGAAAGAGGAGGAGGAGAATGGAGAGGAACGGTGCGTTATTTTAACATTTAAGGTGCGTCAATTATACAGTTAATGTGCATAAGTTCTCCACTTAAGGTGCGTGATTTTAGCACTAAAGGTGCGTCTTTGTAACACTTAAGGTGCGTCATTTTTAACACTGAAGGTGCGCCATTTTTAACACTTAAGGGGCGCCATTTTACAACTTCATGTGCGTAATTTTAACACTTCAATTGTGTCATTTTAACACTTAAGGTGCGTCTTTGTAACACTCAAGGTGCTTTGTTTTTACACTTCGCTTTCTGCCAACTTCCATACGCGCGTTTTTGTTTTTATTTTTTAATTTTCATTGATTTAAGCCGTTGATCTAGATTTAATCAACAACTCAGATATCACCACCCTACATGTTTCACCTGGAACCTCTTTCGCACCGGATCTCAACCATATATATATATATATATATATATATATATATATATATATATTTAGGTTCTCGTGCGGGTGAGGGCTTCAGGTGCGGTTGTGCGGTTTAATCTGAGCCATTCATCTCGCTTTAATCAACGTCCAGGATTATCAAAGTTTTAAAAAAAATGCGGTGGCAATTTTGTAATTTTTGCATCTAGGTCAAAATTAAGGTGAGCGGATCTGTGATTAATGTGCGTGAGTTTTGTGCTTAATGTGCGTGTGTTTTGTGCTTAATGTGCGTGAGGTTTGTGCTTAATGTGCGTGGGGATGTGCTTAACGTGAATAGTTGTTAAAACTTAAAGTCTGTGAGTGAATACTTAAAGTGCGTGAGTTTTGTGCTTAATGTGCGTGATGTTTGTGCTTAATGTGCGTGGGTTTTGTACTAATGTGCGTGAGTTTTGTACTTAATGTCAGTAGTTGTTGAAACTTAAAGTCTATGAGTTAATATTTAAAGTGCATGGGTTTTATGCTTAATGTGCGTGAGGTTGTGCTTAATGTGTGTTGGTTTTGTACTTAAAGTGCGTGAGTTTGTGATTAAGATCTAACACTTAAGGTGCACCTTAACTTATACTTCTTTGTTCCAGGAACGCGTTTTTTTTTTTTTTTAATTTTCATTGATTTGAGCCGTTGATCTAAATTTGATCAACTGCTCACATTTAACCGCACAACCGCACGGGAAGCTATACTCGCACCTGAACCCTTCCCTATATATATATACTAGCATTGTACCCGTGTGATGCACAGTCTACAAATTATATTTTAATTTAAAGTACTATTGCAATAAACAAATTGATTGAATATATGATAATAAGCTATACATATGATATCACAATAAATTGATTGAATATATGATAATAAATCATATTTTAAAATCACTTTAAATATTAAAAATATAACATTTAATAATTAAACTGTAATGGAGGCGTGTTCTTGTTCATGCGACTGTACTGTCAAACAAATTTGTACATATTTCTTGTTCTCCAATTAAATTTTGAGTAGAATGATTTACAATTTTTACTCAAATGGAGGCGTGTTCTTCTTGCATCTATTCTCCCAATTCTGAGCTTGGAGCTCTAGAAACCTTCATCTCACTTCATGCAACTGTCGAACATATTTGTACAAATTTCTTGGTCTTTGATTGTTTTTTTTTTAGTAGAATGCTTAGCAATTTATACTCAAATGGAGGCGTGTTTTTAGGGGTTTTATCCAGTTTCCTGAGATCTGACCAACTCTATTTTTTGAAGGAACATATGGACGTAGCTGTTGTAGAAGGTTCATGCACAGTTTTTTTAATCTTCTGTTCTACATATTTGAACTATGAAATTAGATCTAGATCTAGGGTATCTCATCTACTCTCTAAATCATGTGATTCAACCTTAAAATTAATAGAAAATAACTTTTGGATGATTTGTGTGTATGACTGCAATCATATATGTTCTTGCATGTTATTCTAATACAGTGTAAAAGCTTTTTAAATAAAAATTCAAAAAAAGACACATGTTTTTCTGCAATTATATGTGTTGCAAATTTATATTACTATAGTATTTCAATAAGAGTACTAAAAAATGCTCTACTAAAGGCAACTAAGGGAAGTAATAAAACAGAAAATCTTTAAATAGCACATGTATGTATTTTCTCAGTCATCTAATATGATTGTCCAGTGTTATGACTTGTTTGATATATTTTACAAATGCAAAAATGTTTGATATATCACTCATCTAACATTTTATTCCTAAAAAACTAAGGATTTAAGAAAGATTTAACTCAAAAAACACTGCAGTATATATTTCTGTCATGATGAATTGCTGCTTCCTGTCACTCTCTAATTTAAATTCTACCTCTCTCAAAGCAAGAGCTGAAAAGCTCTTCATTGGGAAACCTTCTTTCAAAGAATACAAAAATGGTACCTGTTTCTTAGCATACACATCAGTGATTGTAGCAACAACCATCGCACCACTTGTGTACTCAAAAAGTGTTCCCACAGGAAAAACTTTATATTTTTCTAAAGAATGATCTGAAAGATAAATATGGTGCTTAAATATGTCCATTTTACATGAAACTTG